TAGTCGTTGCGTTAGTCTCATATTTCCTCCACACTGCCTCTGCGATAATAAACTGATCCATCGCCACAAAACCCAACCCTTTTGGTAGTTGACCGTCGAAATCCGAACGCGCCAGACAACAATTCAATACCAAATAATGAACCTGATAATCATATCCGAGTCGGCGATTGGGGTGAGAGATATTTCACCACGAACAAACGTATTCTTATGGATGATGAATTCGACTGACACTGTTGTCGCATGACTCTCAGCCGGTGTTGAGGAACCCCTCGCCGACATGCGGTGACCAATAACACGACACTAAGATCTTGAGCCAAGATGGCTACGGAACCTCAATACTAGAGACTTACTACGAGAAGCGCAGGTTCCAAGAACCCTACGATTCGCTCTATAGGGAAAAGCGAGAACATCAATGGAGTGACTCCATTGATGTGCACCTGCGTGTCCTGACCTCTTCAGTGTTACCACTTCTGACGTGTTGAGTACCTTTCCTATCACTATAGCCCGCAGATACCCACAATGCACGCTCAGTCCAATATGTACGTAGATCATTATGAGAAGTTCAGCATATCAAACAACTGATCTATCTTCTCGCGCACTTTGCTCAAGAAAGCATGATGAGCCCATAGCCCAAAAGTTGCAATAATAAGTTCTTTAAGAAGAAATTTGGCAATAACTCATTGAACTCATTAGCAATAGCTTGCCACCTATACTTCTCTTATAGTGTAATAGACGACTCGTGGAAGCGAGAGAACAACATACCAATATCCTCCCATGGCACTAAGTGTCCTTCGTTCTCAAGAGCAAAACCATTCTTTATGCCCAACTTCTTGGACTGCTTGAAATTACTCGCATATCATCCTGCGTGGACTCCACGCCGTGGAGCTAGTGATGAGACTGAATCCCACATACTTGTACGGAACCTCAATACTAGAGACTTACTACGAGAAGCGTAGGTTTCAAGAACCATACGATTGCTATATAAGGAAAACTTTTCCTGGAAAAGCGCACGGCCAATAATACTACGTGCTCAACGATCTCAATACTCTAGTATATACGCCAAAATACGTCACAACCGTTACTGAAATTTGTGGCGAATTACACGCCATCATGAAAACGTGTGCGATTCGAACCCGCGACCTTCCGTATACCCACCACTAGACTCATCCCCATCCCTGCTGCACCAGCCATACACAATCCACTGTGGATCTCGTAACACACAGTAATGAAAAGACAGTCGAACGGAAGCTCAATACGTAACCCAACCAACGCCAACGAATTCCACAAATTCTCCGCCGCCGAGTCGCCCATAAACCTCCTTGATACCATCAGCTCATACCGAACGTAAACAGCGCTCGCCCAGGTGATCGATATCACACATACAGCCAATTTCACCTCCGTAGAAAGGGGCATGCCGTGATACACCAGTGGTGGCAGAGCTATACAGAATCCCACCCAAACTGCATTGAGGAAATGCAAGTGTTTCAAAAAATCCCGATACGACCCAAACGATGAATTGCTAGTGATTAGCTCATCCAGAGTAGCGAATGACGGGCTCAAACCTAATGGGAAATCAAAATAAAAGAACATATAATTATATGAAACATAGTTCTTATGTTACATGTGGTCAAGACATTCCCGGCCGAATCTATACGCAGACTATATATGTGAATTTGTTTCCCTACATATACCAGAGCGTGGCGGCTTACTTCGTAACTGCACAGTAATACTTCTATACTGGCTACTATCAGCGTGATGAAGAGGGCACTGGTATATAAAAAATATGTTACAGAACTCATGTAACATATATTTTTCATCGCAAATCTTATGTAACATGAATATATTAATATTCTTATAGTTCATAACATAACTTATATCACATGTAACTCATACCAATTATATAACACATAATGTTATATAACAACATCATAACTGAACAAATCATATTTTCTTCCTCAAGTCATGGCTGTCATAGTCACGCTCAATATCGCTTCCTATATCTCTCACTAAGCGACCGATTGAACTCCACCACGAGAAGAAATACTACTTCCACTATATCATATATATTCATTATAAAATTTATACTTCTAATACGACATACATATGGTGTTATGAACCAACATCATAACTGAGCAAGTCATAATTTTTTCCACGTCATAACTGCGCCAACAGGTTCATAAGCTTCCTCACTTCCCAAGTTACTCACACTGTACTCATGTCTCTACCATAAAAAGGGAAATACTATCTCATCATCGACTTGCTAAGCCAGGAATCAACACTCCCAATCCGATTATTACCATTACTTTCCTCCTCCACACAAGTCATAGCCGGCCATTCGCGAAAACTAAAACCTATTGAGTCAACGAGACATTGAAATTGTCCATAAGCCCCTCCGAGGTAATAGAACCGGACAATAATAAGATAGGATGAAATAAATTTCTTGAAAGATTCCCGCGTCTGTATACATAAGAATGGTAAAGTTTACCAACCTTATGTTGGTAAACTGAAGAAACAAATCTAACTAGGGTTTACCTGGTAAGCCTAGTTAGAAAACGGTCTCTATTTTTACCATGGTAATAACGCCAATATATCCCCCGTAAATTTAAGCCACCTCCTCAGCAAGTTAAGA